TTCTTTTTTTTTTTTTTTTTTTTTTTTTTTTTTTTTTGTACTAAGGATTGAACTCAGGACCTTGCACTTGTGAGGCAGGCAGCAGAACCACTGATTTAAATCTTGAGCCCTCTTTTTTTTACTTTTTAATTATATTGTTTTACTTCTTCTATTGAATCTTGAGACTTCATCATGTATTCTAGATATAAGGTGTTTGTCACATAGGTGTTTTACAAATGCCATTTTTTCATCCTTTCACAGACCTTTTGGAGAGCAAAATATTTTGATAAGGTCTAGTTTATCTGTTTTTTTTAAGTGTCCTAAGAACTCCTCAGACCCAAAGACTGTCTCATGTTATCTTCTAAAGAGGTTTTATAGTCTGATACTTTAAATTAGTGATCCATTTAGAGATTATTTTTATATAAGATGTACTGTTAGTCAATTTTTTCCTATACAAATTCAGTAGGTCCAGAACCATTACTGGAAGACTTTATCCTTGCTCTACTGAATTAATTTTTCATTCTTTAACAAAAATGAGTCAGTCATACTTGTGCAGGGCTAATTTATTTTATTGCCATTTCACCTTTGTTTGCTTATTAATCATACTACTGCTACATTTTCACTTTTAGTTTTAAATTTTCTAGTATTATCTTTAGACTTAAGTATACTTTCATACATCACACACCTACAGTGTAAGAATTTTTTAATAACATCTTTTGGTCTTTGTGCCAGTTCTGTCATCTTTCTACATCTATGATGAATCCCACAATATATTACTACTTTTGCTTTAAGCACTTAATTACTTTTCAAAGGGATTTATAAAAATAGCAGCCATTTTATGTTTAACCCTATACTTGCCCTACCTGAAGATTTTATATACCAGATTTCCATCTAGTATTGCCTTCCTTCAACATGAATGGCTTGAAGGAAGATGGACATGTGTTTCTAAGCTCTCTTAGATTAGACCAGAGCAGGCATTAGTACTAATTTTGCCTCCCTGCAGAGGCAACAGCTGAATACTTTGCCTAGTGAGGTTCTCCACTATGACAGTGGGAACATGGGCAACTGGCAATTCCGGTGATGGTTTCAGTAGGCCCTCCTGGAGGCTCTGTCCTTGATTTCCAGAAGTAGGTTCATAGGCAGATTCACAGCTGCACCCACATGTGAGTAGCAGGAACGCCTGCCCCGAACTTTCTGCTGCTGTCTCCGCTTCCCTATGACCCGCGCTTAGCTCTGGACCCCAAGACGAACAACCTGCCTCTCGGTTCCATGGAGACTGACCCTCAGGATTGACACACCCCATCTGCTCAGGCCCAGGCCTGGCCCTCCGAGGGTTAGGTCCTCCCTCTTCCTTTTGGCTATCACCCAAGCTCTGCCCCAAGGGCGGTATCCCTGACTTTGCTACCCTGGAACTATATCCTTGTTTAAGGACCTGTAAAACTCCAGTTTGTCCTTAGAGCTTCACATTTCTCCCCTTGGATCATCAGATCGTACCTCGAGCTTTCCACACCTGCCAAGGACCCAGACCTCACCTCTAGGACCCACAGACTTCTTCCTAGACCCTTGCTCTGAAAAAAAAAAAAAAAAAAAAAAAAAA